GGATATAAGTAGGGCACTTTTTTTCAAATTAAAAAATACGATTTTATCATAAGAAAAAATATAGTAAACATCACTGATGACTGTATTTAGTGAATAAAATTCGATCCGTAAACTTATGCATCAACATCTTCTCTTTATATGAAAATGAGTCCTTTTGTGCAATGCAAAATCAAAATAAGCACTTTTAAGAGTGCTTACAGAGTTATGTAGTGCGAAGATTTATTGCTATCGTAAATGTGCTTTTTAATGTGAGTGTTACAACAGGTAAATGATATAATTTTAGGCCTAATTTTGAATTATTAGAGCACACAAATGCGGACACTATTAATTTAAAGGTATGAAACAATAATTAAAGTAGAAAAAACGCGAAAATAGAAATAACACATCGAGAGTAATGACACTTCACCTTCACCATTCCAACTATTCACCAAAATGGCGACTGTTTATCCATGTGATCGACATCAGCCAAATTGAATCGAAAGCGGCACAGAGATTGCGGGGAAATGAGTTTCAGAACTTGAGATAGGTATCAAGGGTTTAATGCATATTGCAACAGTTCCCAAATTATGTTCTGTGGAACCCTAAGGTTCCGTGGAAGGGTCGCTGGGGCTTCGAAGGTTATGATATTCCGAACCAGTTATTAAATTTATACCCAATTAAAAATTTATTATTTTTTTAACGTTTCCGTTAATTTTCCGCATCGAATTAAATTCAACAAGTATGAAATAGTATGTTTCTCTGATAACCATTCTCAACGTTTATTTTCCTTCTTTTTCAGTTTTATTTTAATGGAATCCATATTGCAGCTCGTTCATTTTTCAATTTATGTGCGTATAAAAACTGGTTTATGTCAATTTATGCTTTAATTAAGAACTAGTAGCCGCTACAGACCTGTGAATTCAACTGTCTGACATAAAACCAAACGATGTGATTTAAAAAAATTCATTTTTCATTCATTCACAAACATTTTCAAAATAATTTATGGTCTTTTGTTAATTAATATATTCACAATTGCTAATGAAATTTATTTATTAAGTCTTAGGGTTCCGACAAATGAAAGTGAATCTTTTAGGATCAACCAAAAAAAATTTTTTTGTACCCCTGGTCTATGGCAGGGTACACTATGAAATTAAATTCCGGTTACCATTCATGTTATTGACAGAAATAATAATAATAATGAAACCTGGTTTTAAAAACAAAATAAAAATGTGTAATTGGTAGCATATTATTCTCTTCTTTTCTTGCGGAAATTAAATGAAAAGATAATCGATTTAGTTTCCGTCTTTGGAATGTTTATTGTCTTTTCCGGTTTGAGGTATGAGTAAATATAATTAGATTTTGTTATCCACTTCAGGAAGGAAATTTCAGAAGAAATTCTTTATCGCGGACCTTGAAATGACCATTTAAACTAATTGCCTGAAACTAATTATGTAAGGAACTAATTACTTATCTTTTTAATTTTCACAACACGGATATTTAATTTGAATGAATGATTCTTGTAAAAAGATTGTTTTATTTCCAGCGTTGAACTGCCGATCAAATGTTCAACTCCGTAGCCTTCTAGTTTTGAACTTAATCCAGAAGACTAGGGAAGTACTAGATTTTTTTTAATGAAACTAGCCCGAGCTGCGATGGCTCAGGGGATAGAGAGTTCGCCTTCTAATAAGGCGAACCGGGTTCGAATCCCAGTCGAAACTAATTCCGCATCCGGCTTGCACTGATCACACTACTGACGTGAAATATCCTCAGGGTTAGACGGATCATGGCTTAGAGTCCTCTTGTCGTCAGGCTAACCGTGCGAGGTTCTCGTGGTCTTCCTCACCATGTAACGCAAATGCGGGTTAGCTCCATCAGAANTGTAACGCAAATGCGGGTTAGCTCCATCAAAAAGTCCTAAACGAAATCAAATTTCTCCCAATACTCGATCCAGGAGTTCCATTGTCTTCTGGATTGGGTTCAAAATTACAAGGCTACGGAGTTGAACATTAGTAGTCGTAAGCCCATAAAATTGAGTCGACTCTTCAACGACGGTTATAAAATATAAAATGAAATGGAACTAACCCGTATTTGAGTTAACTGAGAGAAAAACCACGAAAATCTCACGGTGAGCCCGACAGCAAGGTGGAATTTCTAACCCATCATCCGTCTACCACTGAGGACATTTTACATTAGCACTGTGGTCGGTGCGAGCCTGGAGCAGAATTAATTAGAACCATTCACCTTCGAACCTGGGACACCTCATTGGGAGGTGAATACTCTATTCCCTGAGCCACCATCACGGCTCAAGGAGATAATTATACTAGTACATATTCTTTAATTATATCTAAAAAAACGCAGATATTTATTACTATCTTTTGCTATCTTTTTATTTAAAATTAAGATTAACAACCCACCTTCGGAAACCACTTATTGTAAGTGTAAATCAGAGGATCAGAAATCTTTCTGGTACTCACCTGCAGTGACCAGTTGCTTTGCTCAAATTCTTCTCTTCCCGATTTCACATAGTAATTGACAATGTGAAAGGGGCGGAGTCACTCAACTGTTTCGTTTTCAATGTTTGTTTGCCTCATGAGTTAGGTGATCTCCGAAACAAAGAAAGAGATTCAACCGAGCTATGCTTCGTGTATTTATGAGGAAGGGAAAATCTCTTCGCAAGTTTCCGAACAGTTTTTTTTATATTTATATTCAGAGCAAAGATGAGGCTTTCATGAGGAGAATATTTTCATTTTGGCTTTAAGTTCGGTTAACAATTAACTTAGCAACGTCACAAAAAGAAAATGCGAATTAGTTACAAAATATTTAGTATGAATAGTTACAAAGTTGAATTAGTTACAAAATATTGACATGAAGCTTTCTTAGTATTTTCTATTTGTCTCATAAAAGACACATAGTCTAAATTTGAGACTCGTATTTTTTTAAAAACGTCATAATTGACTCTGTTAATTAGACTAATAACCCCCAATTACTCCGATGATTAAAAAACATTAAATTAATTTTTTTTATACTCAACGCATAAGAAAAAGTGGTTCAAATTTTGAGACTTCTATCTTTTCAAAGACTTGTGATAGAGCATTTCCGGCAATTAGGTTAATTACCCAGATAAATGATAAAACGTCAAAATATAACTTCAAAAAAAAAGTTTTCTATTTATTGAATAGCTTACAGAAAGGATGTTTCAAATTTTTATTCTGTAACTTCATGGGAAGTGGGAAAATTAGCGTGAGGAATGAATGAGTTTGCCTTTTATATATATATAATCCAATCGTAAGATCAAAAGCTATTAAGATTTTCACTTTTTTTGTACTTTACATGATACACATTTTTAGAACTTCGTTTTGAAAAAAAGTATCAACTGTTATACAAAGCTGGACCAAATAACTCAATGAGCGAATGACGGGAACTCGAATTGTGAAGCAATTCGAAATTCATTAACCTATCATTACTACTATAGTACGTTACTAATAGCAACATTACATTTTCCTCTTTCACTCTTGTCGATATTGAGGGTTGTGGTAATCAATTGATACGTGATGGAGGGTTAGGATTGCTTCAGAATATAATGATAGGTTATATCATTATATTCTGAAGCAATTCTAACTTTCCANAAGGCAGATTTGAGCTCAGAAATTATCTAATTTATTTCTTTTATTGAAAACAAAATTATCCGTTTGAAAACATCGCCTATCAGAATAACATGTAGTAAGCAGCTGCAAACTTTTTAACCGGAACTAGAGTAGGTGCCGAGTTCGAGATTGTTATTGTTTACATTTCTATTGAAAACACCATCCATATCAACAAGAGTGAAAGAGTAAAATGTAATGGTGCTGCTATTAGTAACCATCTAAGCATGCAGTTGGCGGATTGCTTAAGACGATGCTTTACAGCGGAAGAACTCTTTCATGGCAATTCTTTTTCATCTACATGAGTAATTTAGAAAAAAATGAGTTTGGGTAAGCTTAGCGTAATCCCTAAAGTTCGAAATAATGAAAAAAAAATTCAAAATATCAAAATGCAAATAAATTACGGGAGGGTTACTTAAAATTACGCAGAGAGGAACTTATCCTGTAAAAATTGTATTTGTTTTTTGATATTTTGGAAACCTTTTTTTTTATTAACATTTGAAACAATGGAGCTGAAACATGATTCGCCATGAAAAGTTTTTCCTACTATAAAGCGTCTTCTTAAAGTCAACAGAACTAATTATTACAGGATAAAGATAACTTCTCTTCGGCGTAATCCTAAGTAATTGTGCTATTTATTTATTTGTATTTTGATATTTTGAATTTTTTTTCAACATTTGAAACCTCTATGGTTTACTTTAGGTTCACCTGAACTCATTCTTTCTGTACTTTAAATTTACTAAGGTGAAAAAGAATTTATCACAGAGGGTTTCTATCACGCTGTAGCTTCCTCTTAGCATGTTATTTCGAAAATTTACCGTGAAAGAAAATAAAAAATGTTACAATTTAAATGCCTAATACTTGAAGCAATTTGGTTGTGAACTGTATATTCCATCTTTCTGTAAAGGGCTTCAAAACGGACAAATAACTGAAATATTTTAAAAGTTACTAAACTTTTTTTAAAAATCGCCGATATGGTGGCATTTTTTTACCGAGCTGAAAATTATCAAAATCAAGGCGTATTCTTTTTTTTTTTTTAGCAAATTTTCTGAGCCTAGATAATGCAGCATTGCAGTAAGTCTTTTAATATTATAGCCTCAAAACGCTTTTTTTTTCTCCTCAAAACTGTGACTTTTCTCAATATTAACGTTCTGCGCCATTTTTAGAATAAACACGAAAAACGAAAAATAACCAAATATAGGCTAAACGTGACCTGAACAGTCATGAGCAACTATTGTAAACTCACGGCTGCTATAAAAATAGAATATCAATCGAAAAAAAAAAAAAACATTTCAGGGCGATAAGTGAACATTCGAAAAGTTAGTCTTAAGTTATCATTCATTGATTGGACTGATGATTGTGTTTAAAACATACGTAGATTCACAAGTTCAGCCAATTTAACTGCGCATTCGCAAAACCGAAAATAATGAACGCAACGTTTCCTTACAACCACCCAGGAAATGAGTTATTTTGTTAAGTTTCATTATTTCTTAATACCCTTCTGACCTCATTAAAATTAAAAGCAAGTATCATGCATTTAATTGTTGTTATTTTATCGGTAATAAATGCAGTCACTGGTGAACAGTGCACTCAAACTAGCAATTGCGAATGTAAATTTACAAATGGAAGTGTCATAGATCTGACCAGTTTGGGATATCATCACGAAGCCAGGTGACTCATTAAATTTATATTATTTTATTCTTTATAAGCTCATTTTGTTTATTTTTAAAACAAGTTTTATATTACTTCAGCGTTTTCCGTAATATCTGCCCTTAATATACATTTTTTAAACACTTACCAAAAATGAACATAAAAAGTATACATATTGGGACAGCAAGCTAATATTGACGTGTAGAAACTACTGAAATTTGCCCCGTATTCACTTTTTTCTTGATGAACGCCATGAGATGGCATACTTTATGAACCATTTGTCAAGCAGAATTATTTTATTAAACACATTTTTCATACCTTTTTTTAATTATTTTGTATTACTTTAGGCCAAAATAAGTAAAAAATATTATATTAAGCATTTTAATAATGTAATACACTGATGTTTTTTTCTGCGTTAAAGGTAAAATCTTTCAAACACCGATCACTTCCAAGCAATGATTTTTTGGCTGGGTTGGTAGGACGTTAGGCTCGTTTTCGTGAGAACTTGAGTTCGAACCCCGCCGGTTGTAGAATCCCCGTGTATTAAATGGTGACTGGTGAATGTTTAATCTGTCGGGGTCGCAAAGTCCTCCAAGTTCCCATATCTGGGATAAGTGAATTGGAGATAGGTCATTCTCAGGTTCAGGTCAAAATTACGATCAGTGGATGAACGAATGGAGTATGATTGTGTCTTTCCTGTAAAACAAGCTGTGACGCATGCTTAACTGAAATTGTATTCTTGGCCATAGCTGGCGCAACTAAAAAAAAAAAAAAGAAACGCACCCTCTGTCTTAAAAATTTGCTTATGACCAGGATTACTGGTATTGGCAAGTCGAATAAGTAGCAACAACAATAATTTTTCAAATTTGCAGTTATTTAGATCTAATGGAAACAATTATTCATCATTGAAATTACTTTAATTTATAAAATCAAATACTGATAAGTTTTTGAATATGAATGAAAAAATTATATTCTACTTTTTTTTTTGGATTTAAATAATTTTATACGGATGTAATTCCGATAATCTAAGAGATTTCTTTTATTAACTATTAGACAGTTTTACACAATAAAAGATACCAAATATATTTTTGCTTGTAATTAGAGCGTCAGAACATATATATATATATATAGGANCTATACCCGTATAATGTTATTTTTTGTGGATATAGTGAACCAAAAAAGTGAGGAAGTTGGATATAATGAACTTTTTTCTGTCTTCGACTGATTTTATTCTTCATTTTATTGTAATAATTTTGAAATTTCTACTTCAAAATAAATACATATACCGATGTTTAAAACCATCTATAGAGGGGAATGTAGCAATAAGCATTTTTTCTTGTTTGCTTCTTTTATTTCACTTTCCAATCCCTAAACAACCCAAGCAGATGTTTCCAGGCAGATGATGCACCTGCAAGGTGTCAGTGGGATCAATATGCATTTTCTATCAGAGGGAATGAGTAATTATTCATTATTGGTCAAAGGGTTGGACGCTAATATGTGTTGTTAAGGCCCTCATTTCAACTTCTTTTTGCTCTCAGTTCAGTTAAAAAAATCCTGCAAACAAGTGGCTCAAATTTAATTATGGTGAGCAGTAAACGTAAAAAATTCTCCATTGGTGATAAAATGGACATAATCAGAAAAATTGAAAATGGATGCAATCAAGCTGATATTTGCAGGGAATATAAACTATTCAAATCTTCAGTTTGTAACAAATGAAAAAATAGGCAATTAATAATTTCTGCTCATAAAAAAATTTAGATCACGAGGATGTTGAAGAAGCATTACTGAAGTGGTTCACCAATCGAAGAAGCCGCAATCTTCCAGTATCTAAACAAATGTCGATGAATTTGCTAACGATTTTATGTCACTACTTTTATGTGCACGAATGGAAAGTGAGACAGGTTTAAAAAGCGGAATAACAGAAATTCAGAAAAAATTATCTAAGAGTCGGGAAGTGTTTCAGTATCTGAAGTTGAGGATTGCTCATCAGCTAAAGATTACTCTTTTTTTTTGTACGCAAGACGAAAAGTAATGAAAAATAACACGTTTTTTGCTACTACATAGTATTTTTCAGTAATTTATTTGAATAATGTGTAATAAAAGGGAGCAGTTTGAGAACCATTAGTTAAATTGCCGGCGTAACGGATATAGTGAACTCCCGGTTATAGTGAACCAAAATTTCGGTCCCTTGAAGGTTCACTATAGCCGGGTTTGACTGTATTATCTATTTTTAAAATATGCANATATATATATATAAAGGTCACCGGTGTCCCAGCTGCTCCAAAGGATTAATGTGTACTATATTAAGCTTAAACAATTGAGTAAAATTAATGAATTATATATTAAAATATTTTTTACTTAGTCATTATTAGTTTCCATGGAATTATTCTAAATATATTCTTCTTATGGATAAAAACAGTTTGAAACAAAGTTCTTTTATTTTGACATTATGTTTATTACATGAAAATTCTCTATTAAAAATGTTCCATTGTTTTACCGGTGGTCTCAAAACGTGTTAGAGAGGTAACTTGCGATTGAAATTTTGACAAATTTTTCACTAGCTAGAGTACTAAAATTTCAACTGGAGCTCTGTACGTGATGACAAAACAATTCTTCCCTGACTGTAACAAGAATTCATTGCCAATAGAATTTTCCATTCATTTCTCACTAGTTTCAAATCTCAGCTGTTTACAGTACAAGAAACAATAATTGTTTCCTAAACTATACAAGTCATTTTAAGTCGAAAATTTTATCATTTTACAAGATACTGAAATTTCGACTCTATTTTCGTTCGCCATGGAAAGCAAGTTTTAATCCTTTATCGACTAATAGATTTGGGAGTCAAATAATATTTTCCTTCCTTTCTGACAAGCTAGAACAGTGTTGCCCAACGTGGGGCAATTTGATTGTCAAGGGGGGCAATTCAAAAATGGACTCGACATGAATTTAAACCTTTTGCTCTGGGCCATTTAAATGCAATGGGAGATTTCGGTGACAAAATCGAAAGAAAAAAGCAAATTCTTAAATAATTGCGGTCAATAAATATTATGTGACTTAGGGATTTTTTAAGAGACAAACCTGAAATGAAACATCTGTTTACAGTCGATGGTAAAGCATTTGTGAGTTATTTAGCCAATATCTTTGAAAAACTGAATATATTAAATAAGAAACTTCAAGGAACAAATAAAACCTTGTTGATGCAAAAGCGAAGATATATGGCTTCATTACCCTTATTGAGTTATGTCAGAAATATATTAATAACAAAAACTTTGAACAGTTTCATTGGCTCCAAAAATGTGAAGTAAATGATACCGCTTTACTTGTTATTGTCTATCATCTGAAAATTCCATCGGCTGATTTAAAAGAAATATATTCTGATTTAAAACAAATTTATATTCCAACATGGATGTTGCAGTCCATGTTAATGGATTTGTCTGATATATCAAATATATCAAGAAGAACTTGCAGTAATGCAAAATGATGAGTCAGTTAAAACTTTATTTAATATGAAAGGAGTGATGGCATGGCTTCGAGAGGAAACAAAAAACAAATACCCAAATTCAATCAAATGTGCAAGAAAACTATTGTTACCGATTCCATCTTCATATTTAGCTGAATGTGGATTTAGTGCTGTAAATATGAAGATGGAAT